TTGGCACCAGTAGGAACTAATAATGTGGGGGAAGCTGAGGACTCTTCCTCCAGGGGAAGAAGCATAACCCAGCTGACTGCAAGATGAAAATTTACTACAATATGAAGGGATCACCATGGAAACCTCTTTATTTTATTTCAGCCAATCTTTCTGCGCTGTCACTAGCAATATCACCTTCTCACTAGCCATAAAGAAAAGGTTCCTAGAGAGGTTTGTAATCCTTGCTGGCTGGCCAAGCCATCTACCAGGAAGACATGTTTTCTCCAGGAAAACTACTTTCTTGATGGTTCTTCTCCTCCTCACCATGTGTGACTCTACTGGTAAAGGATAAGGCACTGCTCTGGTCCTGCATTGCTCCTCCTGTGAAGATGCTAGATTTTAACTTTGAGAATAAGAACAGGTACAAGCAGGAAAACCTGCTATGTCACTGCCACCATTTTTGGCTGTTCCCATACCTCCATGTTTTGCCATGTGTCTGCCCTTGAGCATCATCAGCCCTTGAGAAACTGCGTCAATCAGCCATGCCCTAGTGCTGAACCAATGACCTTTGTGCAAGCAGGGAAGCAGGATAAAAACAGCAGCTTCTCTATGGAAAACCTTAAATAAGATCATTTGGAGAAGTCCTACCAAACGAAGCTTCACTTGAATCTTCTTTGCAGGAACATAACACTTGAAAAAACCAAAATATTCCATTTTGGCTTCTAGCTGTAATGATAAAGGTGAGGAAGGGTACTGCTGTCTCTTTGAACAAACTACATCTCCCTACAAATACTTCACAGAAAACAAGGTCTTTGCGTGGCAGACCCATCCTAGTCCCGTGGCTGAGACAAGCAGTAGTTTCAAACTCTACATGTCAGAGTGGAAAGAGCTTCAGTTTTGGAAGATCACCATGATCTGAACTGCGGAGGGAGCTAAAAAGGTCAGGCTTTTCAGACATTTAGTGCATCGCATCTGAGCTTCACCTATATCCCATACAAAGAAAATCTCAATTCACATTTACACTCCTGAGTAAAAAGACTCAAAGTCACCACCTTGTTTATTCAGAAGTGTTTCTAAAATGATCAGTGGTTTGAGGAACGTTGGTGTTGTCTGTGGGATACGTGACAGCCTCACGTAGTTCGGCTTCCCCTCTGCAGGAGCTGTTGTGAAAGTTCACCTCCCTTCAAGTGGAGTACAAACCTGGCTGGCAAAACCTCTCATTCTGGAGAAGATAACGCCCATTCCCTCTTCATGCCTGGATGAACACAAGCATCTATTTGCAAATGAACACCCTGCCAGAACAACTCCCATCCCCAAAATCTGCCAGGTGGGCAGGTAATGACCGCCTGTCCCTCTCAGGGTGCCAACATTCACCCACAGTGAGCGCCGTCCTGACGAGCCGTCTCCTGTAGCTCCAGCTGATTGCATTAGCCACAAGGAAGCGTGGGGGTCTTGGTGACCTGATTTGCCCCAGAAAACACAATTGCCTCCAGCAAGGAGGGGTTTGTCAGCAAGCACAGCACTGAGGAGGGAGAAGGCTGTGATTAGTGAGCACCTCCATGCCTTCCGCCGTAAAACTGCTTTGCTTCTAATTATGTCATGCCAAGAAATAGCCTCTGATATATACCAGGAAGCAGAATCCCAAAGAGAGTTTGCTGGATGACAAAGCCCTCAGATCAGTTCAAAGAAGAGCAGCTGCTAAAGAAGCATCACCTTGTCCTTTAGGCAAAGAAATATTATTTGCAAACTCCACATAACCTCCAGTAAATAAATGGCAGGGACTCTACAGCTGTGATATCACCCAGGGCAAAAGAAACTGAAGCCCAGAGCAGTTGCATGGAGTGGCACATGAAGCTTGAAAAGAGCACCAACAAGGAAATTAGAAACTTATCCAAGTGCTTTGGAAGATCTGCACATTTTCAGTTAATCGTTTTGTTTTTTTCCTACCCTGAATAAATAAATTATAATAGACACATTTAAATAAAATGAACCTGCAAGCCAGCTTCCTCTCTGAGCTTCAGGGTAGATGACCTCCTAAAGGACCAGCCTCACTAGCACTGCCTATGAAGAATTAACTAAAGCAATCACACAAGGTGGGCCAGCTAGACCCCCAGGCCTTGCAGAGAGGCATCATTTCAGATGTTCAAGAGGTGTTTCAGCTGGTATTTGCTATATAGCAATTTGATAGCCCAACTCTTTATGATGGATCAGTCATCATGGTTTGCAAGACAGGAATGTCCACCCACTGACTGAATAAATTTAGTCATCCTCATTCCCTATCAGCTCATATTCAGCTGAGTTACAAGGTACAACCTGGGACATTTCTAGGTCTTCTTCCTTAACGAGCTCATTTCTCAGTACAACCACTGAAGCAAATTTTCTGCCTCTTGTCACCAGGACAACATCCCAGGCCCATCCTGGCTGACAGAGAGGAAGGATGGAGAGGAGAGATGAATGAGCAGAAAATGGTGGGATTCTCTGTAAAATGGCTCAGGTTTGCACACTTGTATTCCATCCCTTCCGTGTGGCAGTTTTAGGCTGCTCCATTTGTTGCCTTCTCTTTGGCTCTCTCGTTTCCCTCAAGTGTTAGTTCTTCAGAGCAAAGACCATCTCCCACCGTAACTTGGTACTCTCTGAGGCTCGAACAGTCTGTTCTCAGGCAAGGCCATTCAGTACTTCAGTAATATAAATAACAAGATCTCAAGTCTATTTTTGACGTGATGTTTTTGTGAAGGAAGCCGAAGAATCGCTTTTCCCCATGAACTGCAGTTAAATTCTTTTGAGAAAACATTATAATATCACTCACAGCAAACATCTGGTGGAAGAGTTCCTGCCTTAAGAATTTGGCAGGCATAGGCTTGTTGTAAGATCAGGTGAATGACCTCCCTCAAAACCAATTTTTTTCCAATAAAATAAACCTTTTGGGGATAAAAACCCTAACAAATCATTTTTTAACAAAGAAGCACAAACAAGCCTTTACAAATCTGACATTTTGCAGAAACTGCAAATTTCCCTTTCTGTTTTGTTTCAGAAACTTGTGGAATTTTGCATTTTGGCACCCATGTATAACTTAGACTTTACTGCCATGTCACATAGGAACTTTTACAGTGAAAAACACGGACCAATGTAACCTTTCAGGAGATTCTGACATAAATTCAGATCAATGTATCTTGGAAAACTTTAAAATAATATTTTGACTCCCCACTTTAATATGTGCTAAATGGTTTCCATATACATCAATCACTGTGCTACAGAGACTTCAGAAAGAGAAATCAGTAGAAAGAAATAGAACCATATTATTCATTTACTTACTACTGTGCTTACACCGTGGATTTATAGTGCTGTTACTGTAAGCTTATTTTGCCACAAGTTTTCTTTCTGCATTAGAGAGTGTATAAGTTCATTTGGAAACAACCTGAGGACAAAATCTGCAATAAAGCAATCCATAATAATAATAAAATATTCAAAAGCATGCTTTAAAATCAGAAAAGATTGCATATATGCATGAGGCCTTCACACTTCTTTTTCTTAAGATGGAAAAATGGTGGAAATGTTATTTGTTAAATGTTTTATTTTAAAAATATTTGCTAAATTATGCCATCACATTTAAACTATCATTAGCAATCTGGATGCTATAAATATTAATAATTATCCTTCAATAAGTGAATTAGTAATTCAATAATTAATGAGAACCTGAATATGTATTAATATTTTCATCATTTTTGCCCATTTTTCCATCTGTCTTGCTGTCCTGCACAAAGCTACTGACAAGCAGCAGAAGAAGAGCCTGAAGTGAATCATTTTGTGAGGGCAGGTGCAGAGCACACAGTCTCAAATCTACTCCAAGGTCCTAACACACCGAAGCATTCAACTGTGCTCTTGACTTTAAGAGCAGCAGAGTTACCCATGTGCTTTTGGAAGGACTCCTTCTGCTTTCTTAACAGGAAAAATTTGTCTGAAAAACCCTTTTTTAGAGTACAAGGGTCACAACCTTGTACAAGAACTTGTTCAGAATTGTGGAGGGCAGCCACAATTTTAGTCCAGCCTTTGCTGTCTTCATCTGCCCATTCCAGGGCCACTCCTGAGACAATGCAGCTGAAAGCTCTCCAAAGGGCTCTTGGGTGAAGTGCTTGCTAAAGGGAGCTGTCACAGAAGGTGTTTCAATATTTGCCCACTTCTCCTTTTTCTGTCTCCTTCCACATTCCAAACACCATAGCAAAGATCAAAGCCTGCAGATGGGTTGCTTTCCCCCAGAAAGCAACCCAACCAATTTGGTTTCCTGGCTAAATTTATCTCAGGTAGTTATGAGGGGAGATGTGAACTATGAGGGGGGAAATTTGGCAGCCTTCTCAGAAAAGAAAAAAAAAAAATAGACAAGGAAGATCATCAAGTAGCAGGAAGAATGTAAGAAAAGTAAACTCATTCTCACCATTTTTCCATCGCTGTCCCTTCCCAGCCTCCAAACAGCTAAGCTTCATGAGGAGCAGGTGAAGCAGTCCAACACCCGCCAAGTGCATCTAGACATCATCTGGGAAACACTTGTAACATCTATTAATGGCAGAAAAACGTATAAAGTTGTCTGCACTAGAGATTGCTGGTACCTCTCAGGAGACAGCCACCTCTCTCATTTCACCAGTAAACCCTCTCCTGTATTTGTGGCCATCTCATTTTCTCTCAGCTAATCTAACTAGACATGGAGGAACAGCACTCAACTTGCATCTAAACATTGAAAGGTGCAGGTTTAATAACAAGCTGTTTCTGATCTGTGCTTACGTGTCCTGAGGTATCTCTTTTTCCTCCTGAAAACAGGAATTAGCCTGTTCAATACCATACTTGGTCCTTGCAGACCTCGTTTCACCCATATCTTTAAACCAACACAGTCACAGCACTATCATGAAGACTCCTGCCTTGAAGTTAGAGAGGTGCCTCACTTCTAAAGTATCACCCCTCAGGCATCTCCATATACTCAGGGGTATCCTAAATACCAGAACGGCCAAGTCATTGCTGAGACCTACCTTTGAAGGGCTTTGGAGGCACCTTGCACCATGGTTCAAGCTGTCTACAGCTCCCATCTATTCTTGCAGTATGCCATGTCTTCTCTGGGAAGGGCCAAGAACACATTTCCTGCCAAAGTCAGTCTTTTTTCCACAGAGACTTGTGGACCAGAGAAAGGCAGCCAGACACAGAGCTCTGGGGAAAGACAGACAGAAAAGAAAAAAAAAAAAAAGAAGAGAAAAATTATGAATGTGCAACTAGGCAGGAGACACTCGAAGAATATTAAAAACACTAGAGACAAAAGATGTCATCTCATCATATTTAGCCACACAAAAGCTGTCTGCCTGGTGAGCAGTGATCAGTCACAGACCACTGCAGAGTGCTGTCTACAGCCAACAACAAGCAAGAAGCCTCCATAGGAGGAGAAACACAACATCCTATGACAAGGTAGAGTAAATCATCCTTACTGGATGTCTCTGCATTGCCCACAGGAGCTGGAGGACTGTGCTTAACAATTTTGTCTATCTGCCATTCCTAACACAAGAGGAAGCCCATCTGTTAGGGGTTTGGGTTAGATAAGAGTCCTCCGGCTCACATGTGAAGGCAATATTGAGTTATTTGTAACTATTATCTCCCTCCTTATCCAAGGTTGATGTGCCAGACAGACAACCCAGGAGCTCTCTCCTTCTGGAAAGAGCTTACTGGCCCCTGTCACGGGTCAGCTGGAGTCACCAGAAGATGAGACAGACAACCAAATTTACTACCAGGTGCTTGCTTGGCACCAAGAGTGACTCATTTTTAAGTAGCATAAACCATTCCACTTGCACCAGGCCAGGCTGAATCAACTCAACACAGATGTCAGCACAGCATTTCCCTCTGTGTCACCAGGTAAGGTATTTCTCTTTAAAACTCATCCCAAGCATTTAATTGCAAGATGAAAACTTGAAACAAAGCTATGCCTTGCCCTACAAGAGACACACAGGTTAAAGGTGATGCAGCATTGCCCAAAGCAGTGAGGGGAGAGCAGCCACTCTGGGTGCAGCGAACACAGGGCAGGAGAAGGAGTAGAATGACCTGCAATGATCAGAACTTGGTTTCTTGCAAATCAGTAGGAGGTGGGCACTAAGCTCACTGTAGAGTAAATTTTCTCCTGGCTTTAACCCTCTATTGCCAAAGACCATGTGAAGCCTGCACAGCTGAAGCTAGAGGACTGGAAATGCAAGAATTATGAGTCATCTGATAAATTCATTAAAGTGTACCCACCTCACTCACAATTTAATGAACAGATTATGCATTGGTTGGACATATAAATGGTAGCTGTGGAGAAACAGTCCCATCTCTCTCCAGAATAAACAACATTTCACAGTTTTAATTGTGCCCTGATGTTATAATGATCACAACTAAACTGGGTAATCATTCATTAAACATGAGCTAATTCCATGTCCTGCTATAATTATTATAGTTTCCTGAAAATACAACGTGTAGTAAAGTACAATAAGTGCAAACTGAAATATTGCTTTTGGAAGTTTATTTATTACTACCTTCAGCTGTAAACATTTATAACTGAAATTTATTGGTCCTGGTCTCTTCATATAAATATTTTATGATAAGCCTCAGGGATCTGCATCTTCTCGTTGAAATGCCTCAGTCCTGGTGTCTGCACCAGCAAAATAATCTCAGGAGAGAAAGTTTGCTGTTCTGTATTATTTGGACATCCTGCTGTTAACATAAGGCAGCATCATGAGTGCTACATGTTACCTGTCCAAAGATGCATACAGAGGTGAGGTAACAGCACACTTGTTGCATTACTCTGGCTTATAAATTTGTTCGTGTAGCACATGTAGTGTTCCTACACGCAACAGGCCAGTACAGTGTCAATGCTTATTTTATTGTAATAGTTCTGCTAAGATTCTTCTATTGAGCTGAAGAAAATGAGGCAACTGGAAAAAAGTCTGTGAACATCAGTGAGGAGGGAGTGTTCACTGAGAACTCTGTTCTTGTTTCTATTTCCATGCCAATACACAGCAAGAAGTGCCTAAAGGCAAAGAAGGAAGAGTTGTTTAGAAAATGGGTAACAAGTTTAAGACCTGGTTTTATATGTCAGACCTTACCATCCCTTCTGCCCGGGTGTCAGGGCTGGCCTGCTCTGTGCCATGCCCAGAGCTGATGGAGCTGTACAGATAGCAATAAAGAGGTGCTTGTTCAATCCCAACCACTGAATTATAATAAATCATTTAGGTTTCCATGGCATCCATCCAGAAAAGTTGAAGGAACTGAGAGTGAAGGAGCTGAACTGCTAACAAAAATAATTTGTGCTTTTCAATGATAAATTACAATTTCTACAGTGGAGAGACTGGAAGAAGGCCAGGTTCATATCAATCCTTTCAAAATGAACTGATAGTTCTCCCAGGACTCCCAGTCCCTCCTCACACTACCAGGAAAAATAGCAGCAAAGATCCTTAGGGAAAGCAGTAGAGCCTCTTGATGAATATAATATGCAAAGGGTGAGCCAGCATGAGTTTGCCAGGGAAAAAAACAACACTCTGTCCTAAATAATAAGGATTTACTGAAAGGAGAAACAAAGTAATGGCTGAGGGATAAGCAGGAGATATCATATGGATCTCAAAGGAACTTTTTCTTATGTGCCCCAGAAGACTATTAACCCTTGGAGCATGAAAGAGGAGTGTGCATTTGCAGCGCTCACTTTCAATTACCTGCACCGAGGGACTGCTGAGCTTGTTTGCCTCTGGATTCCCCATTTTCATAAATGGATAAACACACACGTGGGTGCCTCTCTCCCCGGCGCCTCTTCTCATCTCTGCCCTCTCACAAGCTTTCCATCCGATATTGTTTTCCCTGCAAGCCATATAAATCAGGAATAAAACTTGAGGAAAACCTGCCTGGAAGATTATCATCAGCCTCCAACTCTGCAGGTAAATCCCCCCCACACTAAAATGGGACTAAGTCCCTAAAACCACTGTGTTTGATTTCTGAGCAGTCCTTTATGACAGAATTTTTAACAACCCTGTAGTACTTGGTGCTACATCACTTACAGTATGTAAGGGGTATTGATCTCTTCAAGTTTATTCTTTTAAATGGTTCCCATCAAGTGCCAGGAAGTCAACCAGTTTGAGCTGTGTAGCTCATCTGCAAAACTCAGGACGAGATGATTGAGTCTACTCAGAAAACAGGCGTTTATTTGTTTTCTTTCCCAGAGGGACCTCAAGTGTGTGTAATGCCGTTAACATACCATGTTTGCCCTTAAAAATAATTTTATAGCCATGCTGAGTATCTCCAAACATAAAATATGCTTTATAAGTAGTTGGCTAACTACCTGGGTGTGCTGTAAATGCAGTAGTAAATAAAATAGTAAGACACTAAATATCAGCTGTATTTCATAGTCAGGGGTACTTTTTCAGCCACAAAACAGTTCCCAATGTTAAACCCCTTGATTTTTGCTTACATGCTATACTGTGACTAGAATTCCACCTAATCTCCTAAAGTCATGCTAAATACCTCTCACCTGGTAATCTGATTATCCTCCCACAAAGAGTGAACATGATTTATATTGAGCAGGTAGAAATATTTTCTGAGGCTGGAAATTTGGTTCCCAGGCTTCTCCATGCAGTAATATTGTTAAAGCTGATGCTACTTGGTTTATGTCCAGCTATCACCAAACTTTTTCTGCATGGAGACAATTTTCCTGGTAAACTCACCTCACCTGGCTGGAGAAATCTGTGCTTTGTAATCAGTATAAAGGGCATCTGCAAGAAGAAGGGAAACCGGTGAAGTGCTAAGGGCAGCTGCTCAGATTAACCCTTCCTAAAAATTTCTGTCTGTGACACAGAGGCTGAAAACAGAGCTGTGTCCTTTACTCCAAATCCACCCCTCTGACATCTCTTAGCTTAGAACAAGTGTCCACAAGGAGTGGGAAGAAGAGAGGCAACACAGAAAAGAGAATGAAAGAGAAAATCACCTATGAGATAGTGTTCTTTTTTTTTTTTTCAATTTTCTGTAAGTATTTCAGTATTTTCCTTTTTATTACCAAGCATGGCATGGGAGGGATAGGATGGGATGTTGGAAGAGAAAAGGCACACTCTTCAGGAGTGAAGGCTCTACTTCTGCCCAGCCTTACAGTGCCCGTGCTGTGGAGCAGGACACCCAAATGGACCAAACTCATTAGCAGCAGGTACCACGAGGAGCCTTTCTGCCTCCCCACACCCACACCCACCCTGAGTACCCCTTCTTCAGCCATCACAGAGACCTGATAGTGACAGAACCCAGCCCTGCCCTGAAGGAATCCCAACCCAACTGAGCAAAACAACTCAAAATCCTGAAGTAACCTTGGCAATCCTTCTACAGACAATTTTCCTTTAAAATGTAGAATTGTTAAGGTTGGAAAGGACCTCTAAGATCATTAAGTCCAACTGTTAACCCAGCACTGTTCACCACTAACCCACATCCCCAAGTGCCACATCCACACCACACATCTTCCAAATCCCTCCAGGGATGGTGACTCCACCACTTCCCTGGGCAGCCTGTTACAACGCTCAGCAACCCTCTGGGTGAAGAAATATTTCCTAATATCCAATATAAACCTCCCTTGGTGCAACTTGGGGCCATTTCCTCCTGTCTTGTTGCTTGTTACCTAGGAGAAGAGACCAAACCCCATCTCACTACAATCTCCTTTCAGGGAGCTGTAGAAGGTTGTAGATCCCCCTGAGCCTCCTTTTCTCCTTGATGAACAATTGCAGCTGCTTCAGCTGCTTCTCATCAGACTTGTCCTCCAGACCCCTCCCCATCTATCAACTGGCTGTCAACTATTTCTGCATCTTCCAATATCAAATGCAGTCTTGCCTTCCCAGCAATCCAGAATTTAGTTCATTTTACACTGCTGTGCAGACAAAAATGTTGCTCAGATGAACATTTACTGGAAGTCCAGAGGGTGAGCTGGGGCAGGACAGCAGTAGATGACACCTGGCCACCAAAGCACTTGCTGAACGTGAAACAGGGATGGCTCAGCCCATTAAAATCTGCCAGCTCCGCTGTAGGGATGAGCTGTGTGCTCTTGGGATGGGCACTCGCACGGTGCTGCTGAGCTGCCCTGCCATGGAGCTCTGCTGTTGCTAAACCTAGTCCATAAATCAAGATGGGAGGATATAAACCAGGACGGAGACATGACTGCAGAGCGCCTGAGATTTGAGATCAATATTCATTTTACAAACCTCTCCAGAAAAGTTCCTTAATTAATTGTTGGAATTAAAGTCAAAATTGACCCCTCAATTTGCTCCCGTGGCCTTTAGATCAATTTTGTTTTCTTTACAAATCATCGTTTTTGGACTAGAGAATGCAATAACACCTTTTTATTTTATTTTATTTTTATTAAATATAAAAAACCAGTACCCACACTGAATATATTCTAAACAGGACTCACGGGGCATGAAGCCAGCGCCTCCCACTTCAAACTAAAAGGGGGGAAATATTTTCCCAATTAAGCCAATACAAAGACTTTACCCAGCTCAGCCTGCATCCCCACACACACACACCACTCCCCCTTCCTCCCCACCAGAAGAAAGCTGGTCCCCAAGGCCCCATTTCTCAGTCCATTTATTAAGTTGTGTCACCAGCACAGCAGGGAGCTCCGAGTGCAAGGAGCAGAAATGCCTGTGCACCACCACATCCACAGTTGTCTTTATTTTCCCTTTCTTTACCAAATCTTAAATGGCAGCAGAACCACATCACAGGTTACCAAGTGGAAAGAGTCCCTTGTTTTATGCAGCTGTGTACCTGCCACACCTTCACACTTTCACAGACTTTATCCCCACCCTGCGATCTGCAAGGTAAGGAAGAGAGAAAATAGGATTAAAGAGATGAGAGGGTTTGCTTAATGTCACTGACCTCCCACTTTGTGCAGGCTACAATTTCCCAGGCTCTCAGTGCAAGTATCGTAATCCATCTGCTACCTTCTGCATATTGTCCTGGATTCCCTTATGTCCATTATTTTGCTTTCAAAGGATTGATAAAAATCCCAAATTAGATAAAGCTGGGTTGTTGTCCTTATAGCTGGCACACTGAGTGAACCTACCAGTATTTTACAGCTTAGTCCTTAACATGTTTCCCTGGGAGTGCAGGCAGCTCCCACCAACCAGCTGGGAATGCTTTCTCATTGACAATGCTCTATCTTGCAGACTCAAGACTGGATTAAACCATGTTATTTCCTACCCACTGTACCCCAGCCATGGGAATTACCTGATGAGCCAGACCAGGATGGGTCTGTAGAGTGGTCCTGACAGCAAAAGGATCCTCCACTGGATCACAGATTGATGGATCACACACAGATGGCAACATGAGACTTCATTCCTGACCTTCAGAACCACGTGTAGGTGGATCACAGGCTGTCTCCTCATCCACAGAGCCAACACAGCCAAAAGCCCTCTAAAACCTAGGATGAAAGGTATACGAGCTCGCCACAAAGCATTTTTCTCTGCAGAAGTGTCACAGCAGAAAGATCATTGTAAATCAGCGTCTCTTGGATTTTAAAAATATTATTCAGAATACGCTTACTTAGTTGCACTTTCTCGCTATAATTAAGAGAATTAGTTAGTAAATAGACACATAACCCATTAATCAAGTTTCCAAGGCTGCAGTGGCGACACTAAGTGGGCTCTGAGGCATCTAGAGATGTTGGCAGGTGGAACCAAGTCACCTCGTACCTGCCCAGGCACCACAAAGATGGGCAGTGAAACTGGGCAGATATTTTGTCTGCATTTTAATGGCACACTCCTGTGCAATTTTTTTAAATTGATAGCTCTGCACAGCATTCACAGATGAATACCATCTGGTGTGGTGATTTATTGCCCCTGAATTTCTCGAGTTACTTTTTTTCTTTTTTCCCTTTTCTCATCTTACCTTTTCCTTGAATCTTCTCTCTACAAAAACATTTTCCATAGAAATGCAGTTGAGAGAGGCATTTCCCTAACATGCTATTTTATCATAAGATAAACAGTGGCCTGTCACTAGACAGATCAACAAACAACTGATGTATGGGGTCTATTTAATATCTCTGCAACTCCAGAGCCCTCCTGGTCATATATGGTACTCTTTTCCAATATTGTAAGAGATGCTTATAATAGGTCATATAGAAAAATATGATATATATGATACAATGATATTTGCATTAAAAAAAATGCAAATTTGTGTTTTAATGCACATACACAAGGAGAAAGAAAATAGGTTATACATACATGGTTCCTCCTAACAGTTAAATGACTGTCCTGGAAGAACACAGTAAATTTATTTTGTAACTTTGTTCATTGTGGCTTTTACTGTAACCTTCCTAACTTTGCTTTACACTTGATTTCCAGCTCGCATCTTTCAGTGCACATGATGTCCATTTCTACAGCTGCCAAGTTCTCTGTAATCCTTAACATATCCAGCTTTTTAGCACTGGTTTTGCTCTCGGACCAGGGCTGAGCAGTAGGAACACGGGCCGTGGGGGCCAAGATGCTGCCAAGAATTGGCAAGACCAGGAAGACAAGCCTGTATTTTGGAAAGGAAAAGGGTCTTCCAGGTGAGGTAGTGAAGCTTACTGCACTCACAGAAAGGTACATCACAAAGGCTTTGGGAACTCAGGCGTGTGGGGATCAAATGATTTCTTAATTTTTAAATTCTGAATTAAAAGACTTTTTTTTTGGTTTGTTTTTCCACCCTGAAATCATACAAAGAGCAAACTCTGAACTATCTGTGGGGTTTTTTTAAACATCTCTTTAAGCATATATTTAAACCCCATTAGACATCCAAATCACTCGCCAGGAGGAAAAGTTTCCCTTGTTGTTTAAATAAGTTTGATTGAATGGAAACCAGACTGCAGATTGTCTGTCCTTTTACTCCTATGAAAGTATAATTAAAAGTCATGTTAAAGTTAGGAGATCAAGAGGGTTTGTGATAGATAACAAGCTAGAAACTGTCAAAGCTGTCAGGCCATTAAGAAATGAAATAATTCACACCCCAGTAATTGCTTTTATGTGCATTTTCCTATAAAATCCGGGAGACATGAGTCACAGGGCCTTGTTTATCAGCCTCCAATACACTATATTGTGATCTTTCTTTCAAGGAGTGTTTGACACAGGTATCGTCCTCTGGAGATTTAAAGAAAGTGAATGCAGTGCTCGGTGTCACCGCACTGTCGCCGTCCTCTTCCTGTCCTCCGGCTCTCCACAGGCATCTCACTGCCAGCAACAGCAGAGTTGGTCCCAGTCACCTGTATCATAGCTTTTCTTCCTCCCTATCACTATTCTGTGATTTCCTTGGTCTTTTTAAGCTGAGATATGGCTGAGCTAAATAAATCACACAATAGAGAATTTTGGAGCAGTAGTAGGCTTCCTCCAAAGTGATCTTTGTGTCCAGGCTTCCTGGCGGTAGCTCCTCGGAGCACATGGAGGAGCCACAGCAATGTGTGCAGGGATGTCACTGCCATTAAGCCTTAGTGCCACACCTTCAGCTGAAGGAGGATTAAAGCCACCTGCAAAATTGTGTTTCTTGCCCAAAACAGGCATTTTGGGAAGACCTGGGGGGGATGGCAAGAGACGTATCTTTTACATCAGATAACTGGCAGTGTTAATGATCTCCAGGTGCTGATTGTAGGTCAGTAAGCTGTGTAAGGAGGAGAGGGCTGATATCAGAGGAGGGTAAGGGAATCACTGTATGGTCCTGATCACTCCTGCAGCATTCAGCCACTAGATGCCCCTGCAAGCCACACAGTCTGCCG